TTATCTTTTCGGACATACATTAGGCTGTAAGTATCCTCGTTTTGATTGTTTTACATTTGTCATGTCGGGGCATTGTTTAGCTTGCGAAACAGTATAGATTTTGGTCATTGTTAGAGGGCGTACGGTGACCTATGACTCCCCACTTCCTTTTCATTTGCCAAATGGTCAAAAGTTGGACGTTCAATCCGATGCCTCGTGTGTAGAGATTTCCACGCTCTCAATATATACCAATGGAAGCAACAATATATCAATAATAATGCACGCGTATCAGTGCTAATCCATTTATTCATTTGTGTCCGATTTTTTAAGTTAAACAAATAATCCGTAACCTGAACTTCCTATTTGAAAGTTGACATTCTCAACTGCATGGTTACACTTATCGTGCAGACAATTTTAAGAATGACACATGATTAGCTTCACAGTAGCAAAACATTTATCTTCGGGGAAATTAAACATATCATTTATACCATTCATATAGATTCTACCACTGCATCGAGTGTGATACGATATTTATCCACTCGAGACAGTTAAATTTTCAAATTTAAAACGCGAGGCTCGCCGAGCGTTTTAAATATTTAAAATTTAACTATCGAGAGTGGATAAATATCGTATTACACGAGTTTTGGTGGTGGAATCTGTTTCTCTAATGATTTTCAAACAATACGCAGGCAAATTTATTCCTTCTTTTCGAATGATCTGCAAAAAGATGTGTTCTTTCTATGTGACGTCATCAGGGATGGTCGCCTTTTTTCATGCCGTCACAATAGGAAATTCAGAGGAAAGCAAGAAAATTCGACGTCATAATCGGATTTTAACCAATGAAGAACTGAGATCAAACGAACCACACGTTGATTAAATTTTTTTTATACAATGGGTGCAGAAAGGGATAAATTGACGAGGAATTAGAGAAATATAAATATATACTTATTTGAAGAACTAGAAACGGTTAATATTTAGAATTGTCTCTTCATTTTCATAACACCTAATCAATGGAAACTTCTACTTCTTCTGTAGGTTATTAACCATATTTGCAGTGTCACCGCATAAAAAAATGCGTTTTTTTTTAAATAAATTATCTTGTGAACATTTAGTAATTCATAATTAACAATGGTTGGTTACATCTTCATTGTATAAACATGGCCTATAGTCCTAAGGTCTATCGAATTGGACATAGAATGACAAGTTTATCATTAGTGACTAACCGGTAAATTATTATTGAAAATTTAAATCATACTCCAAAAGATGCACTATTTTATCTCAGGGGTGTCACCCCTGGATCCGCCTCTGTTTTGTCTCTAGTGGAGTGTTGTTTCATTGGCAATCACACTAATTATTTTCTATATTAATAATAACATCAATTAAAACCGTTAATTACAATTTGCAATTTCAAATTTGTTGCGTTTTTCATGTTTTCAAGAAAAATACATTCTCTCGAAAGTCAAAGTTTGAATACTTATACGTTATATAAGACAACATCTTCGAAAAACACTTCATCGCCTAAAAAGCACGAAATGTATAGTATTATTCTCATTTGCGGGTTATTTATTGCGAAAAAAATATTGTCAACACATTTTAAAATATGTGCGTAGTTATTTGTTAAGAAAGTTTATATAAAATGTTTTAATTATTATTTATAGCATAATGATATGAATAATGAGACATTGATTAAGATTTACTGACAAATGTTAAATTTTTTACTTTTCAGGAATATGTCGGATGTTTCCAGGACAACGCTTCGGACAGGCATTTACGACACAGGATACAATCATTTGGTAACAAAATAACACTTGCTTTATGCAAAAGACACTGTAAAGGTTACAAGTTCACGGGGCAACATGTAAGTTAACATTATAATAAAATAAATAAATAGATGTGGTATGATTGCCAATGAGACAATCTTCCACTAAAAATCAAATGATATATAAGTTTACAACTATAGGTCACCGTACGGTGTTTAGCGATATGCAAAAACACATATCTCATAGTAAGCAATTAAAGGCTCTATGACAAATGTAAAACAAATAAAACGAGTAAACTAGCGGCCTGATTTATGTACAAACAATAAACGAAAACAATGATATACAGCAACACAGAACAACCACAGAATTACAGGCTCCTGACCTGGCAGGCACATACACAATTTGGCGGTGTTAAACAAGTTTTCTTGCGCCAAACCCTCCATCTAACCAAGGACAGTGGTGTAACAGTACGACATAAGAAAAAATTATAAAAATCAGTTTAAAAGGGTTTAACTCATCAGATCGATACAAAGCACATCTTTCACAGGGGATATGGGCGCATGCTCCCTTTCGATGTTTTATATAGTGCACTGACATGGAATATGAGCCCATATCCCTATGAAGACAGAATAAAAAATATATTTTAATGGAGTGTCTCGATTTTTTTTCTTTCTGATTAACTTGTATTACCAGTCTGATATTCGTATTTGCTAATAGGCTATATAAGTTCATATACCCTGTTAAAGTAACCCATCATATTGCACGATAAGTCAGGATATATCATTCCAGTGTTAATTTATGTATAAATCTCCGTAATTTGCACTTGCCATGAGCAAAAGATTGCATGTCACTAGTCGACTCGTGTCACTCGTACCCTTCCGGCGTTCATGAGATATCTCCCAGTTCTTGCTTGGTATCTGTTATGACAATTAATGATATATAACTACAGATTTGTATTCAGTATTTCAAGTTATTAATGTAAAACTTTGTATATCCCTTGACCTTAATGCTACCTCCTCGGTGGTCTCGTGCTCCCCTCGATTCCTGGGTTCGATTCCCGGCCGTCAAACTAAATACTTAAACATTTACAATTGCTGATTCTCTGCTAAGCACTTTTGTTTAAGAGATACAACACAACCTGGTTAGATAAGAGTTATAATGATATGTCAATAAAGGGTGACATGTCTTTCTGTGGATAGGTTCTCGCAAACAAGCGTTGCTTTTTAGAACAAAGCATATTTTTTTCTATAAAATATTAGCATTATCTGGTCCTGATATGCATGAAATATTTCCAACTGGACGTTTGCCATCAATCTTTCAATCCTCATTTATAATATGATATTTTATTTTACATGATAAAGTATTGATGGATATCTTTATGACAAGCCTAGATCGATAAGCATCACACTGAATAACAGAAATACTGACTTTTTATTAACAGGGAGGTGAATTTTGTCTATGAGAAAATGATGTTAACAGTGAGAAGGCTTACCACCAAATTTTACCAGAATCTAGTTACAGCCTGAAATGTGAAGGCGGACCTACTAGGAACTGCGGTCACCACGACATAAAATATGTAGAGGTAAGATATCCGAAAAAGATACCTTAAAGGTCAAGGTACATTTATGATAAACAGGTTTTTGAGCCAAAATCTGTGACAAAGGACTTTTACTGTACCTTGACGTTTATAGATAAAACAGAATTCAAAGCCCGTGTATATTTAAAAATTTTGATCAAAAACATTTCAATTTTAGAAACTTATGAATAACTAGATCAACACTGCATAAATATTAGGATATTAGTCTATGCCATGGATATAATACTATGTATTATTATGTATTTCGTAAAAGATCATTTGATAATCGTACATGATAATTTTTGTGTGGTTGTATATATTGTTTAGTTGCTGTCTTTAATATTAAGAAAAGAGGACATGGCATGATTGCCACTGCAATGAGACAACTCTCCACAAACGACCAAATAACGTTCTAGTTAACAACTTTAGTAAACGGTAAGCTCGTTCACGACGAGCAAATCCCATACCATATAGGACGCTTAAGGCCCCGAAATGACAGATGTATAACAATTCAAACGAGTAAACTAACAGCCTGGTCGATGTACTAAAAATAAAAGATAAATATGATATATAGCAACACACGACAACCACTGAAGTACAAGTTCCTGTACTTGGGACAGGCGCATACGGAATATGGCGGGGTTAAACACGTTTGTGGTTTGTGGGCGCCTTACACTCCACTGTTTTCAGTTGCCAGGCATGTGTCTTTGATGTAATGAAAATCATGACTTTTCCCTGAATGTTTTGCCACGATTTATAGTGTTACTTAAATATTCTTGTAAAAACATAACGCTTTCAAGACTCTTGCATTGTAAATTAACTTTTCCATATAGATGATTAACACTGCTTTTTTTCTTATTTGTAGTATCATGAAGAAGAACATGACTCGTTTCAGAAACATTTCGTGAATAAAGAATAAAAAGATGACTTTACATAACTTTTTTTAATGGTTGTTATTGACTTTACTAAGAGACAAAGATCGGACCGAGATAGGAACAGTCTTACATGTGCCAGTCGATTAATAATTTCACCAATTAAATTACATCTGACATCAGATATCAATTGATTAAAAAAAGCAAAACTACTAGACCAAAAAACCACGAAGTTAGCAAGATTAGCATTGTATGTGACCAACAAAAAAAAACCGAAATTATCAAATAGCTTTTGCCCCTGTTTTAAAAAGGCAATGAATTACTGCCTTGATAGTAAATTGGCCATTGAAATAAGATAAAGGATGTTTTCAAACTGTAAATAAAACACAATAAGCGGAAGCGATTGTCTTAAAAAATGTTTAAATTGTTTTGCGAGGTCTCAATCCTCCCCCTATACATCTTACCAATGTAGATTAAACACATAGCAATACGTACGGAATCAGGAGCCTTTGGCATTTGTTAGTCTTGTATGTTGTTTTTTTTTTTTTTAATTTTAGTTCATTTATATGTTTAGGAGTTTATTGTACATATTGTAAACAAAAAACTTCCTACGCATAACTGAAGCTTACATTTTTTAGGCACGGCAATGAAGCACGACAAATAAGAGCTTTGCACTCGTTTTTTTTTTCGTTTTTTTTTTTCTGGTTAACAAAAGTTGTTTTATTGTTGATGAAGTTTACCCCAAAACATTTTTTAATTATATAGCAAAAACTATGGAAAGTAAAATCACACATGTAACAAACATATATTTGTTTATTTAGAACAAACTACACATGTCAGCGGGTAATTGTTTATATACGGTGGACATTTTAGAGATCCGCATTTGGTAAGAACAGCAAAGAACAATTTACCATAGTGCTGATTCACGCCACCAATGATATACTCTGGGTTTATGTCAACACATACGTAAGCAGACGCAGCTGCAGGACTATATGCTACGGACGACAAGTATCCATTATACTCTTCCTTCCAGCCACTGTAACATGTATTCTTACCAGGAATCATTATGACAGAGGTTGAGAGATGAGTTCTACAGTTAGCACAAGGGACGTCCTGGGCGTTAGAATTAGAAGCAAAGAAGTTGCCGATTACTTCTGCACCATACATACGACCATAGTCTGGTCCGCTATTCTTTATATAATTTGGATCTGGTGGTAAACATACGTATTCAGCAGCCGAGCCTGCTAGAGTATAAAGACCACCACCGGCAAAGCCTATTAAAAAATATACATTATATCAATTTTTCAATATATATATATATATATATATATATATATGATATTATTGAAATCAAGGAATGATCGTAATGATCCTTTTTTATTTATGCAACATATACGAAGGAGGGTTATAATCGCATTAAACAACAGAAGAAACCCCTTAGTATTTTACATTATTTTAAAATTTTATGCACCCAAAACTTACAGCATTGACAGAATTTATATGCAATGATATGTCATATCAGCGCAGATGTGCTGACAAGTGACCTGGTAATCGAGTATTCGGGGACGTGGTGGGTATAAAACACTCATCACAGATACGGCTAGGTTGATGATACAATTCACCAGTCACGTATTACATTAAAAAGAAGCATACCAGTGACACTCGAGTCTTTTCCAAAGTGATAACAGCTTAAAAGGTAATCATAATACATCGTACTACAATAAGCTTCTATAACAAACTATTTTTGACCAGATTAGCAACTATAAGATCATGTACAAATAATGGGCTGCTGGTGTGCCTGATGAAGGATGCAAGGTAACATTAAAGGTAAAATCCGAGAGGAACCTGAATGATGTATCTGATCTAGCCTGGGATCCTGGCTCACTACTCGACAGCAGTACAGACGCGGTAAAGGTTGGTCCAGGATGCTAGGCTACAAATGATTAGGTAAAAAGATAGGCTGGTTCTCGTCGATGTGCCATACGGGTAAATTAGAGCCAAACAGATAAACAAGCAGGGAACATGTCAAGTGAAAGATTTACGGTGAAGGTTAAGACCAGAGAAAATCTAAGATTGTTTTTATTTCAACACATGTTTACCAACAAAAAACTTGTCGAATGAAGCAAATTTATGTTTGTATTTGAGCTTTTGATTTAGCCATTTGACTGTCGACTTTTCGTTTTGAAATTTCCTTGGAGTTTGCTATTTTTGTTATTTTACTTTTTATCAACAAATGATTGCAAACCAATTTGTTTATCTTAATAGTTATTTTATGTATCACCCTGTAAATAATAAAACGATTGTAGATTAATAAGGGGATTAGTTATGCTTTGATGATTTTTCACTTTTCCGGCAAACAAATTCTATGGTGATTGTGCTTGTGAGACACATATTTTCACCTGTCCTTGAAAATCAAAAAACAAAAAAACATAAACAAAAACGAAAATTTTTAATCCTTGGAAGGAGACTGCGTTTTTTTCTTCTTCAAATGTTTACACTTTTTAATAGCGTGTAATTAATCGAATTGACATCTGTTAAGATTTACCGGAATATACCAACTCTGTATTATTATTTGGACATTGCTTTCTTCCCCATCTTATGTATGTTGTTCCAAGACCTAAAACAAAACAAAAATATTACTCAACGGCTTTCAAATAGACGACAGACATATGGATTGATTAATAGATCGTGTAAAGTTAAGGCAGCAGTAGTTAACTGGTGCTCAAATCTCGTAAATCGATTAAAAAGATACATATCATGATGACAAACAAAATTGCGTCGTCAGGGTAAGTGTCTCCTAAATGCATTCTTAGTCCCCCATGCACATACATATTCAGTCAAAATAGCACTATCCAGAATGGAACACAATCGGTATAAGTACAGATCAGACGATAATTCTTATGTCTGAAGATCTGATACCACGAAAACATGTCGCTATTGAGTTGAGATATAGACACATCATATTGGTCAACCAATTCGTGATGTGACCGTAAATCGTATGAAGAGCCGATTTCAGTCGTTCTTCCTCATAACTCTGCTGTAGCAATTTTATATAATGAGTATATCCCTGTTAAAAGTAACATGAAAAGGAGAAATGAGAGAAATATTGACACAATGTATGATAGATAAAATGCATATTTTTAAACGGCATTGAGAGTTTGTATGGGCCAACATTATGAGTGTATTTCTCACCATACATTCGACATGATGGTTAAACGAATTGTGAAAAGGGAAATATGACAGTCACGTATTACTGTATTTCAATTCGTTTTAATCTCTGATCTCAAATTCAAATGAACTGCATGTGTATGATATTGTCACTATAATGTGAAATTTTAAGTCCAACTCCAACTTGAATAGGTATACTTAACCATTTTGTCACGTTTTTAATAATGTGATCGGATCACATTGTTATCTTTTTCATCGACCAAGATTGATAAATGTGGTAATGTATTTGCGTTAAACATTTGACATAGTGATATGCATATCACCGTCAGCGTTTCATAAACATATTTTAACTTATAGCAACATTGAGTGAAAACCTTTGTTCCTTTCTGAATACCTTATTTTACCTCAAATTTACCCAGTTTTTTATTGAGTCATATTGCTCAATCTTTAGTTATCTATATTTAGTGTTTCAAAGTTTGTCTGCTCGTCTTTTTGTGGTTTGCCATGTCTGATTTTCGTCGACTTTAGGTTTTTGCAAGCACCATTTTTATCGTCTACAATTTAAAAAAAAAACAACATTATGACAAATGTGAGAAAATAAAGATAAATAAAGCCTTACTTTTGATGCCGGTTTATGAGCTTTGAAGTTTTTTAATTGTCTGTTCATGTTGTTGGTTTAATGTCCGTTGTTGCTGAATGATTATCTCTTGCTGTTGATTTGTTACTGCCTGTTGTTGGTTTTTAGTAATTAGCTGTCTCACCGTAGCATTCAGTATCGCCAAAACACTTCCCACTTGGTTCAGTCTATTAAGCAATACATCTGGGTCATTGAGCAATAACCTCTTCTCTTCTGTGGGGACTAGATCTACCTTAAAACAAAGAAAATATATTAACGACACATTCATACTTAAATGCCTTATGCTAGGTATGAAGAAATCAATTAAGTAGACACAATTTTTTTCTTATCATTTATAAGGTCACAAAGGGTCCCATAATGTTTACAAGCATATGATAACATAAACGTTAAAACATTACAGTGTGTATATAACTTATTTTTTACAGGATAAATTTGTTTCGATCTACTCTTACTTTTTTCGGACTGTGTAAACTAATAGTATTTTAATTTCTCCTAAAATTTCCATACAGATTTAAAATGAAAGAACGTAAAAAAAAACTTCATCTAAAGAGTACACTGATAGATGATATAAATCTTCAAAATAATTTCTACAACAGCCCAACCAAATTCGTAGTTGTATTCTCATCAATAATAAAGTTGTATATATATACATATACAAATTTGCAACAATTGTAAACGTCACAGTTAATCACGAAGTATTTTCCACTAAGAAAATGATTCGTTGGCAAGAATGAATCAGATTGACTACACGTCTGTGATAATTGGATTGCAAAACTCGTCTGTCAAATGATAGGCATTGACTGTCGTGTCACTGTCCTAATAGAGGATATAGAATGTTAGTCTGGCAATCGGAACGCTCTGTTTTGGAAAACAAAAACGTTTTGGAAAAATAAAACAAAATTTGTCTGGTGGAATTTGAATATATCAAGTGAAAGAAAAATTAAAGTAACAGCTCAATTTGAAATAGTCTACCTTAGACAGTAGGGTTGTTCTTCATATATTCATTTTTGATTATTTTCAATGTCTTAATATTTATTTTTTGCTTTGTTTTTAGTTTTGTCTTAAGGTAGCTGGGTAGTCTAAATGTTCGACGATAGATTTTTCTTAAACTCTCGTAAAAATACTTCTTGGTCAATGTACTTTAACATTTCAATTCAAAACACTGGGGATAACGGACCAAAATATCAAATAGAAATAGGAGTGAAAAATTTAAATGAATGTAACGACACTGATAGTTTGATCTTTGAATTTCTAGGTTTAGATGTTTTTGTTAAATGATATTTGGTAAACTATTTAAACTCGAAAAGTATATTTGCAACATGCTCAGAATGGGATACTTAGACATAACCCCCGATGTATTGCAACATATAATTTCCTGTTGATATAGACTGTGTATAAGACCGACACGCTGCATTGGATTTTGTAATGTGCTTACTCAGGTAAACAATGATCTTGATAATGCCTACCATCTATCATATGAATAACATTGTTTTCAAGCAGTACATGTACATATAAACTGAAAATGAGATACATGTAAAAACATAATTGATTTCCAAGGACTGGCACCAAAACAGTTCCATGGAAATAGCTGTATGGAACAAAATAGGTACCGACATTTATTTAATGTTATTCTTAACAGCAGGCTCATATTTCAAAATGGTTTTTGCTAATGTTTTGTGTAAAGAATGCTATATTGCTTTTTATCAAGATTCCTTCATTATTTTGTTCGGTTCTAGGTTTGAGGATGATTAAACTTCATAGAACCTCATCATTCATGATTAAACAGGGAAACTCTACACTAAAATGTACGACAAAAGGGACAATTTTTCGTTTACTATTGTTAATTTTTCTTCTTTGGATGGTGTTGTTCCTTAGGCTTCATCTTACGGTGTTTACATTTCACAACTCGTTCGCTATGCCTGTGTCTGTTGGGACGTTTTAGATTTTAAAGAACGTAATCTACGTATTACTGGTAAATTATTAAGTCAGGGATTCGTTACCACAAATTACTCAAAATCTTTACTAAATTCTTCTATAGATATAAAGATTTGGTTTTGAAGTTTGATTGTGCATGTAGAAAACTTATTTCAAACGTAAACTTATCGATCCTTTGAATAAACGTATTGTAAAAGGTTACCAATTAAACATTGTAATTAGATCTTTGAATAATGGTTTATTGGTATTAATACAGTTTTTGTTATCAGTGAATTAAAAGCAAACTAAATGTTATTGTTATATACATATGCACTCACATGGATCTACAATCTGTCGATACCTGTATCTTGACATTGCACAAGGTCATGTTTTACTCTGAGTGTTTATGACGTTTTTTCACTAAATCCATAATATGTTGGATGTGTACTGATTGATAATTTAGGCTAAGATGCATGATTTTTTTATTACTTGTTATTAGCTTTGAACTAGCTGTCAGTAACTGCGAGTAATCTCAGATCTGTACTTAATGTTTTTTTGTTTGTTCAGATGTACAAGTACCCGGCCACGTCCACTCTGTTATAGTTAGATGTATTCCTATTTGTATCCATCTGATGAGTTAAGCCTTTTTCAACACATTTCTATAGTTCGTTCTTATGTTGTACTATTACACCAATGTCCCAGGTTAGGGAAGGGTTGGGATCTTGCATGCTAATATGTTTAAGCCCTCAACAATCTGTATGTATGTGTCTGTACCAAGTCACGAGCCTGTATTCAGTGGTTGTCGTTTGTTGTTGTGTTACATATTTGTATTTTTTTCATTTTTCGTACATTAATTAGGCCGTTAGTTTTCTCTTTTGAATTGGTTTACATTTGTTATTTCGGGGCCTTTTATATCTCACTATTGGGTATGGGCTTTGCTCATTGTTGAAGGTTGTACAGTGATCTATAGTTGTTAATTTCTGTGTCATTTGTCTCTTGTGAAGAGTTGTCTCATTGGCAATCATACCACATCTTCTTCTTTTGTTATAAAACGTTGAAGGGAAATCAGAAGGTGAAGTTACGTCGAATTTTGGTAGGTATACATGATTCATAGGATTTAATGACATGAAGCCAAATATATATAAAAAAACAAAAATCATAATCCGTGTTTTTTTTTTTATTATTTCTATGGGCACTAAGCGGTTATCAATCAATTAATCAATTTATGGAAAATTTAACCAGCCAAGACTTTGATCAAGTTGTGTTCAGAGAAAAACGTACTGCTTTCGCTACGGTCGATGTACATATTTGGATTTATTTTTTTAAGAATGCTGGGCAAAACATTTAAGTTAACACTGGCTTTAATTGTTGGTAGATTAACATAAAGTTGACATTATCACATGCATATTGAAAATAAACACATAAGAAGACATATTTATGAATATAAGCTGATTTTCCCCAGACCAAGGCCATGGACGTTGAATATTTTTAACATATTATCTGTAATAATAAACATTATTTTGACTCCAACATGTCAAATTCTACCAGGTTTTTTTTTCCAAATCTAAGATACATGTAGCGAGTGATTGGTGGAAAAAGTGACAAATGCCAAATTAAAACCAAGCTAAAAAGGTACAGACAAACTGTATATATGTTGTTAATGTAATTTTAGAAATAACATATTTCAAATCTTTCTCATCACATAACTCAACAGTTTTTTCTATTAAAAGTAAAATCTACTCTATCTGTGAAAAAGCAATTAAGAGTGGTCGTATAAACAGTCAGCATGATTTGTTTGTTACTATTGTTGGTAAGTGTTTTTCCTTAAAACAAATGAGACAATGTTTGTCGGCTCTTGCTATCAAGTCATGATTAAAAGGACTTCATGAACAGAAGCAAAAAAAAAATATACAAACTCATTACCTTTTGTATTTTTTTTTATTACTTTGAACAGACCACACATGTAAGTGGATAATTGTTTATGTACGGTGGACATTTCAGAGACCCGCATTTCGTAAGAACTTCATAGAACAATTTACCAACATGTTCATCCACACCTCCAATAATATATTCTGGGTTTAGCTCAACGCATGCGTAAGACGAAGCTGCTACATGACCATGATTCCCTGACGCCAAATATCCATGATATTCCACCTTCCAGTCCTTGTAACATGTATTTTTTCCCGGAATCATAACAACAGTTGTGGCCCGTTTTGTTCTACATAGAGCACAGGGAACGTCTTCGTCGTTAGCATTGGATGCAAAAAAAGCGTTGTCAAATTCTGCGCCGAACATACGACCATAGTCTCCCCCACTAGTCTTTCCATAGTTTGGATCTGGTGGTAAGCATACATATTCAGCAGCTGCGCCTGAATCAGTATAGTGACTCCCACCTGCAAAGCCTGTTATAATAATGTAACATCATTATGGAGAAATAATGAATGCGTATTCGTGAAATAATGTACACAATATTCTGGAATAATAAACATGTAATTTATGTGAAATACTCTATATAACAAATGAAGAAAACATGTATCTTATACTTGAAGTAATCGTCACGGGGATAGTATAGGTTCTAATTGAATTATGTAAAATACGCATAAATTGAAAACACAATGCTGCTAAAACACCACAGGAACAAGACTGGCAACTACGAGTATTAAAACTGTGTAATTGATAAATTTAATCTATATAATATTTACCGGAATAAACCAATTCTGTATTATTATTTGGACATTGCTTTCTTCCCCATCTTATATAAGTTGTTCCGATACCTGAAATAAAGTAGGTAATGCTTTGCGTATTTCAAATAGACCACAGACACATATGTTGATTGATTGTTTGTTTATTCAAACATAAAAACATTAGAACAATGCTATGTTAAATACCATGTTTATGATACAATGGCATTTATGACACAATGGTGACTTTAATTTAAAACACACTGAAGTAATTGAGTTTTTAATCATTGTTTTATAGGCAAACTGAACAAGATAGGCAACAGAGTGTTATATTTTCACAATTCATCAGCCAGATCAATTAGTCACACTTACACAAATTTACAAGATATGCAGTTATCTGTGGTCATATTTTACGAGGTCATTCATGATTACCACAGGAAAACTACAAAATAAATCGCAAACTCTATCTCGTCAAGTTTATTAATCTAAATTACACCAATACGGGGGAAAAATAATACTTGGCATAAAATATTCTTTGCAACACATTACAAATTATCTTAAGTTCCCCATGTCTTCAGTTTCATAGACTGTTTGATAAAAGAGCATTAAGATTTTACTTGCTGGCTAGAGGTTGGAATATATTTCATATCATTGTCAGCAAATTCTTTATGTTGGTTTTTAAATCATTTAATAGGAAATGTTTTATTCATTATATATTACAAAACAATAAGAAACATGATTCAATATTCAGATAAAACTTTGCACTTGTAACATAGTATCTTTTGGATCGGGATATTCTAATTTCATCCACTTTTAAATGAATTGTCGATAATATAAAAGCTGCAAATATCTCAGAAGAATTCTCGTATAACGATTAGAGTATGACGAATGATACTATCGTAAACATCCAATTAAACCATTGTGGTGACGTCAGCCTATTCATTTACCGTGGATTCTTTTTCTAGAATCAACGCTTCCCAAATCTGCCGCTGAAATGGTCTCACCAAATTATTTTCAATTGTTTCCTTTGTGTGTCTAATTTCGTTAAGTTTGAATTGGCTAATTTACTGATTTCTGTTCACTAATGGAATTAATTTAAAAACTTACCTTTAATCTTTGTAATTTGTATATGCCTTCACTGGGAATCGAACCCTTCCTTGAAATCTGTAATGAATGACTGACATCAACACATCGACGAAACCTCTCGGCTAACAATGGGTTACAACTTAGATGTCTATTTTATCTATATAAATGAACATCGGAAACACAGGGGTTGTACCTTTATATATACACAATGGGCAGTCGTATAGTATAAGTTGGTAGCCGCGAGGTTAGCATGCTTAAAATCAACGAGTTAAAAGATAGGGATTTATCGGTTTAGGTTCGAATCCCTGTATTATCTCTGTTGTCCCAATTCAGTTTTTTTTTCTAATTTGCATGTTATAGTGGATATTTTTGTAATACAAGCGAGTTTTACCGTTTATTTTTTGGATTATTATTGGCTATTTCACATGTTTGAAACAAAAATGATTACATTCTATTTGTCAATTTTTGTTGTATAAATATAGTATGATTTCATCTGTTTTACTACATAATTTTACAAATGTTTGTTCGCAAATTCCTATGCGAGAAAATCGTGATGTGCCTAGAGTGCTAGAAATTTCGGTAACATACTTATTGTATATACTTTATATATGCTCTTTGGTCGGGTTGTTGTCTCTTTGACACATTCCCCATTTCCATTCTCAATTTTATTAGAAATAAGTTCGAATATGTCTTATTTTGTAAAAACAGATAATATTCAGATGCCTGATGATATAAAGATCTTTAAAGATAGAAGTGTTATATTTGTATTTTGTTAACCAATTAATTGTGATTTGAGATTTATCAATGCATCGTTGGACACGATAACATGGTTATTTAAACTCACTTACAATACCTTCTAATTAAGAAAAGGCTTTAATTTTGAAAAGAAATTAACACAATAGTTTAAGTTATAGATACAATGGATAAGCGTAGATTCATGAAAAACAAACCATTCGCCCTCCGGGCTCATGGTTTCTTTTTCAAGAATCCACGCTTACCCATTGTATCTATATAACGTAATATATGTGTTTACAACAGGAGTTTGGCCTTTTATCAAGGGATGAACATTTATTATCAAATACTTCTTTCTATCTTTAAACTATGCCAATTGATAGCATTTTTACCAAGATTCTTATAGCCTCATTATGTGTTACATCTGCTCAAATCTTAATTTGGCTTACATGATTTACATATTAGTGTCAGGATAATAACTGATAATGAGGGGATCCGAAAGCAAATATGACTCTATTCAGTATATCAGGTGAGTTTTCTCTCAAAAGATAGCGTTCAAACATGCAGAAGTGACTATGTAGCAATCAAACAGTGAAGAGGATATCTTCCAAACTCAGATCTGGGGGAAATTTTACATTTCTTTTTCAATATGAAATTTTGGTACAAAAATGGTTCCGTATTGGTATAGCTAGGTACCTTCCTTGTTACATTAACAGGCAATGAGCAAGGATGAAGAGTTTTGTAATATGTCTTCTCAAAAGCGTTAATTAAATCAGATCATTGTCAGTATTAGTTTTCCTCGTAGAATCCCCATGAATACATGTTTCACCTACCCACTTGGTAATTTGAAGAAAACACCACAGACTGAAAACGAAATGCCAAATAAGTATTCGTAAAAAGTACATAGCAACTAAAATAAGTCTTTTATTAAAAGTTGCATGGAATTTTTAAATTGGACTACATTAGAGTTTGGAATAATTGATGGGTTACATATTTTAAGATGACCAATTTTTTGTTTAGAATCTGAACTATTAACAGCACGCACAGAAATACACAGTATGGGTACTTTAGTCTACAGGGTCAATTAATTGAGATAGTTTTTCATTTTGAAGCAAATGAAGCATATTATCCTCATAAAGTTTGAAGATGGACTATATAATTTGTTTCTAGAAAAAAACTTTTATGGGATTTTTTAGTGCGCTGATATAGACATATGCATGTATGACTTTCTTTAAATACTTATCTTTACAATATAGTCGAGTTGCAATTAAAGAGAAAATAAAAAAAATTGATATCGACAACAGATGGTAATATATCTTGCAATTGCCCCTGGACTATTTATAGAACTGAGTCAACCTTGCAAATAATACGTAGGGCGAATGAAAAGTAGATTTTAACATTATAAATATGATAGTCCCGTATATAATTGATAAAAACCATTACTGTATTTCATTTCGATTGAGGTCAAATTTTATGCATGCATGCATGGCTTTATCACTCTGATTTCAAACTTCAACAGGTACTCTGGAAATCAGGTGGAATTTTATTGTGACCATTTAGACGTACCGATTTGTTATTACATTAATTTAGAAGTGCTCAGATTAAGACAGAGATATTTATCAATCAGAACTTTGGGGTTTGCATACGTTTTATCAACAGATTGTAACTAGTGACAACACGACTGTTGTGAAATGACGTTGTGTGCTTTTCTTTGACTTAAAGATTTTGTTTGCTCCTTATGTATATTCTCTTTTTTATGAAAAAAGTCTTACTTGGAATGCTGTTAAATGAGCTTTACAACTGGATAATTGTCTGTTCCTGTTGTTGATTTATTGTCTGTTGCTGTTGGATTGTTGTCTGTTGTTGTTGGATTAATGCCTGTTGTTGCTGAATTGATGTCTGTTGCTGTAGAATTGATGTGTTTTGTTGTGTAATCCATGCCTGTTGCTGAAGGGTTGATGTCTGATGTTGCTGAATGGTTTTCTCTTGCTGTTGAATAGTTAACGTCTGCTGTTGGTTTTCGGTGAATAGCTGTTTTACTGTGGCATTCAGTATTGCAACGATATTTTCCACCCGGTTTAGACGATTAACGAGTACATCTGGATCATTAAGCAATAACCTCTTTTCTTCTGTGGTGACCAGATTAACACTAAAGCAAAAGAAATATATTAACCAAATGATCATACTTGAACTTCCCTCATGTGCTATGAAGAAACGATTCGACACAAATTGTTTCTTATCAATCTAGTGTTAAGTTAGGTCACATAGACAAAGGTATCAACAAGTGTACATACATATGCTAACAGGTGCATTTGAACATAACGATCTAGATTTGACAATTTTTAAGAGGACATCTTCGTTTCGACATCAACTTACATTTTCCATAATTGTGTAACCGACTGGTAATTTTGAAGGCAACCAATTTTTTTATTGTTCATATCGACTAATTCATAAAACAAATATACAAAAGAAACCCTCGGAAGCGTAAATATATAGTATATATGAATGTAATCGTGACCGTTACAATTTCATTCGAAACAATAATGAAGTTTTACTTTGCAAAACGTAAAATGTTACACTTTATCATAGAATAGGTTTTCTCTAAGAAATAAATTCGTTGATATATAACCGTTGAAGCATATTAACTGTCCCTTCTTTGAATATGGGATGCCTTTGATGAACTTCTACTATTCCAATCGGCGATCCAAAATACTGGGTCTGTGGGTGGCATGCCTTTTTTGTGAAATATTATTTAAATCCCGTGAAAATAAAACCAAAATTTGCCGAAACCTATCATTTCCTGATGGAATCCTACAGCATCTTTTTCCATAATTTCTAAAACTTCTACTGAGTTTCGTGCTAGATACTTTATGAAATTTGCGGTTTCAGAACTGCTTCACCATTGAACACATCCGTAGAAAAATCTTAGTGGGAAATATAAAGGAATAATATAAGATATGCTAATGTAAGGTCAATGGTGTAGCTACACAATACCTAGAGAATCAACACATGTAACCTTAAACTGTCAGTCAAATATAAAAACACTAAATATAAACGCATGGTTACAATTTCAGTGTAAACGATTACCTTTATACATTATACCTACGAAGACCAAAACCAAAAGTTCTGAAAGTTTAATGCATCAATAAGTAAATAGTATCAAACTTTGAATATATCTTGATAAAATTATTGAAATCATGTGCGATACCTTGTACAATAGGAGAAATGAAATAATTTCATAAGATACAAGACCAACAACAGCATTTTTCAACAAATTAAATTATTATTTATAAATCAACTGTTTAAAAACATTTTGAATTGTTCGAAATATCTAAGATTTTATACCCCGTTAGTAGAATACCTAAGCTGTATTTGGTAAAACCTTTCGAAACCTTTGGCCCTTAATGCCTTCAAATTTCGAACTTTTAGCTTGTTTGATTCGAGCGTCACTGATAAGTCTTTTGTACACGAAAAGTGAGTTTGGGTTACAATATGCTATTTATGGTATTTTGAATGAGCTGTTTTTAATTCAGTTTTTTCACAAGAAGGTTTATTATTCTATGCAGTACAAGTTTTCTCTAAAAGAGACAATATATTTTTGTTTGGTATTAAAAACGAGGTTATACAGTAGAAACAAGATTAACGCTTCGTGAGGTGAATAAGATAACCACTGTGTACGACAGTGAAGCGATAAATATGGGTATAACAAAACACATGTCAACAGTCAACAGAAAAAATAGATAAAAAAAATAGTCATTAATAAAATTAAATGCGTTTCTATACTCTCATAAACTCTCAATATGACAAGCTTGAAAATACAGAATAAGTTTTTCAAAACCATGCGCACAAATAAAGAACAATTTAGTAGTGAATAAATGTAAATTTCACGAACCTGTTCATATTTGAGAATAGCCTTTGATTATGTCCATACTCATATACGAGTCCATTTTAAGTTTATTATATCTTAATTATTTATTGGGGGATGGGTGTCCCATGAATCATAAAAGACATGGGGATGTTGAAATAAGACAGAAACCAATCAACAGATACATTTCTAGAAAAACATAACCTCTCAACTACAAATCAAATTGAATGAACGAGTAAAATTGAATAAGTATTCAATCCAAATGCATGTAACTGATGTCAGTGCGCATGACCTCTCATTCTTGAGCTACTTTTGTAAGGATTATCTAACACCAAAACTTTTTTAAATAAAAAACGTAATCTTAACAAAAATAAAAATCGACAAATGCTGTTACATGTCTATATTGTTAACTTAATCTAATCACATTGAATTTAAAATACAGGATATTAGATACACAGTATAGTTAGCCTCATATACTGACGTACATCCAGAAACGTACAATGCGGTTTGGATGAGAACATCAACTTTACGAAAAGAGAGGATTATTTACGTTTTAGTTGTTATCTTTTAATTTCTATGCTATAACATGCACGCAGCGACTGCATATGGAATACATTTCTCCAAGTTGATAGAATATTCAAACCTTGCGCTTCCTATCTCCATTTTCTCATGCATGAATTGCTACTAACAAGGAAGCTATTGAACAAAGGGTTCATGGTGGTAAAGTTTTAGTCATCCCTTCGAGCGTTTTACGGACACTATCATAATTTGTTTGATCGTTGTTGAACATCTATGTCATAGATGACCCCTGATAGGTTCCTATTGCCGTAGCTAACATCCTGCCCCTTTTTCCTCGATGATTGTGCCATAACCGGATGACACTAATCACCGAATGCTATCTTCCTTGAGCCACACTACGGATACCAGTTGTGGAGCTGGATCTGCTAATCCTTCCACAGCAACTGTGATCACTCCGGCTTTAAATGTGGTTGGTGTTGCTCAGTCTTTATTTATTTCTATTGTTTGTTAGACTGATGTATCATATAAAATAATAAGACAAATCATAATTATTTGTCCGTTAATGACAAGAGATAAATTATATTCAATTAAACATGCGCACTACAAAACAAAATAGAGATAACTCATATGACCAACAACAAAAACGATCCATACAAAAATTGTGAGTTTTCGTTACATGTTGAAGTTCTGTGAAATATTCTTAAATCAAGAGTATTATAAAACTGCTCATTCGTTGCTTATGGTTGTATGAAATACGTGTAAGGATGTTGTGTCATGATATAATACAACATACAAATAAAGGCAACAGTAGTAAACCGCTGTTCAAAAGTCATAAATCGATTGAGAGAAAACAAATCCGGGTTACCGAGGGAAACACATCAACTAT